GACGAGAATAAAGAAAAGTAACCATTTAGTAAAGGATTTTGCCTTCAATTGATGTACCGCCAAATTCTCAAAACGTATAGTAAAGACTACCTGAAAGTCAAGGAGAATGTCATTTTTGGTCCGAAGACGTTTAATTCGGCCATCTGCGCCAGCTGTTTATTTTGTTCTTTCTTCAAAAATATGCATTTTATGGTCATTTATCAGCCACATGATTTATTTGGAGATTTATTTGATTTTGCAACGGCAAGTGTTTTCAAATGGATATCTTGAACCGGCCAGGAACTTTTTCATATTTATCTGAAGACAAACTTTTAAGCTTTGTCTTAATTTTGGACAGTAGTTTCACTAAAGGCGGCAATACAGTAGGCTTAATATTAATGGTAAGAGGTCCAAAGCCGTTAATGAATTGAGAGGATAATTAAAGCCTCTAGACCAATTGTTTGATTTCAATTGGCTAGAAAGGAGTGAATTGAATATTGTTTTTGTGAATACTGAGAAACAAGTTGAACGAATTTTGTACTAAATTTTTTTATTCATTCGTGCTATGGTTTTGGTACCAATTCTTTACTTAGAATGTCTAATCTGATACATTTGCGTATAAAATATCCAAGTTAGACGACTTAAAATTGTACAACATGCAACTCGGATGAACATTAGCATTAAATTCATTTATCCCAAATCACCACTCAAGCTATCCTTTTAGCACACTGTTTGTCATAATCAATTGATATCTCCTTTCTGAATGTTTTTTNACGATTCGGTAATGTCACGTTTAAGCGACTCTCTGTTATATAAGGGACCATAGCATATATATTTTTTCATCTGATTGACTGATTGACGAAAATTAAACAACGAATGCATTTAGGACCATGGCAACAAATTACTTGTCATCAGTGCACCTTGTTTTCATCAGCTGATATTTTTCCTAATTATCTCCCGTGCCATAAAACATGATGTTTTATGGCACCTCACAAATATTGACTTTTTAGACCAACGCGTCAAATTTAAAGTAGTTAATTAAATGGAGGTGATATGAAATTTTCGTTTGTGGAAGGCCTAACAGTATAAAAATAAGAAATATTGTTGTTATATTCTTTTTTTCTTTCAAAGGAAAAGATGAAAATAGAACAACTGAACTTTTTGACTTCATTTACTTTTATCAAACAAACAATCAGTGATTTCTCGTCTTGTTTTCTCCTTGTGCACGCTTTAACGAAAATCAGTAAAAATCTTGAAAAGGTGTTGGATTTCCTTTTTGACGTCAGGCAAACCAGTGAATACTTTTACTGGTTAAAGAATTTCTTGAAAGTAAAGTCATGGTTTTACTGTGAGCGACAATTTTCACTGACGTAGTTATGGGGTTCAGGGTGCGTTTTCACATTTTTATTTACACAGGCTGAATTAACTAAATCATAATGAACCA